GGTGGGGGTGGGGGTGCGAGAAGGGCGGTGGGAGGGGAGCTGGGTTGAGTTCTGAGGGAGGTTGGCGTGCAGCGACTGTACTGAAGCGACCTCGCTGGGAAGTCGTTCCCTCGTCGACAAGCGGCTCTCGAGCGAACGTCTGCTAACGCAATTGATCGAAAGTTCATGCAGCCACTGTTGGGGCAATAAAGGCCCTTTTGCTGAGCGACGATGACGTTATTAGACGTTGCTTCTCAGCGCCTCGTGAGATTCTCTTTAGTGTCAATAATATTGCTGTTGTGATGGGGATTGTAATCAAACAATGGTCCACTTCGTGATAGGAAAATATTGTGAGTAGGGGAGATAAGAATTAAATTTTAAATAATATAATTTTTACAAGAAAATTGTGGTATAAGAATTTCATTACAATTTGAAATATAAAACAAAGGGAATTTTCTGCATGTCGAACAATTGTAATGAAAGGAATGGATGATCTATTAGTAAATAGTTATTGCTGATGTATGTAGGGAATATCTCAATTATATCAATACAAACGTCGCAATATTCATCCCTGATTAATGTTGTATCTTTCTAATTTCAAATAATTTAATCCACATTTGCAAAACATTATAAGAAATTCAACCAATAGCATTTAGTGTAAATTCATGTGAAACAAATATGAGTACAGAAAGGAGAACTTCCATTCGAATTGACAGTAATTTGTTTAAAAAGTTATTTTAAAAGTATTTGTAAATAAACATTTAGAAAGAATCCAACCCGCGTTGAATGTGTTTAGAGACAAATTATCCCGATACATTGGTATTTTTTCTCTGCAAACCATTTTCGTTTTTTAATCGTAAATAGCTATAGTTGTCTAATGAGGGTTCTATCTTTTCTGCATTGTGCAACATCAACATCCACTGAAACCATATAACACAAATTCTGAATTTTTAGAATTTGGAGAGTTGAACTCTTTGTGCTATACACCGACAAATTCATTACCTAAAATAGATTTCAAAACCACTAGGAAAGGTTTTGTCTTCCTCATTTTAATTTGTGAAATTCGCCACCGTCATTCTAATACACAGTTTAAACATCATTAAAAACTCAAAACATCCTTTAGAATTTCTTGCCCCCAGTAGTTGATCAACTAATCAAAAACAATAATACCCTTCTACCAAAGAATTCAGTTACTTATTCAATGTTATGGGATCCAATTAAACATTGTCCTAATCATAAGCTACCACGAGCTTCATTGTTTCCTTTTCATCGTTCATTACTCTATTGAACATTGGCATCCAACTCAAAGCAATAATGGCATCGAAATAAACAGCTATATTTAATCCCTTTCTTCCTTTAAAATGAACTCAATGCTCTACACAAAATTATTTGCACCCTCGTATCTGATCTAATAATTTACAACTTCACAAATTATTCCTCTATATACAGTTTTTACAAAGTTTCTGTGCCTAAACTGGTAGTAGAAATAAAATACAGGTACCTTTATGAATACTTTCAAAAAAATTCTTAAACATTATCTCGTCTCGCCGAAAGAAATCAAATAAAAGCAGAGGAGGAGATGTACATTCCGATCTGCGAAGCAGAGAATTCTGCGCTCCCTCAAGATGCGGCGTGCGGCCGCGTGACGTTGGCTCAGTAAACCACAAAAAAATAAAACTATAAATGAATGGTGGATATTACAGAATAAAAATGTACTCTTAAAAATTTAATCAGGCAGAAAAATCACAGTTTTCTTTAAAAATTGCCTTAGTAAAAATTTTGTGAATTTAAGTTCAAATTGTATATTTTTTTAAATTTAATATCGCATCATCCACTGGGCCATTAGTGACCACATTATTTTAACGTTAGGATATTTATGTAAGAGTAGACAGTCTGCTGTCAAGAGGACCACCCAGTAGCATCTCCGCGTACGCGCCTCTTTACACGTGCTCCTGCGTCAATGCACAGCGCCCAGAATTGGAAAGGAATAAGGACAGTGGTAGGGCTTACTACTTTTCACAGGGGTTGGAGTAGTCTCTGAGAAGCAGCGAAGTTCGTTTTGTCGGAACAAATTTCACTTGAAATTGTCCGTTAATCGAATCCGGGACTCCTTGCTGAAAGACAAGCGACTTTCACTCCGAGATAGCCAAAATTATTTTGTTGGAAAATATTTTACATCCACATGAACCTATTTCAGTTATAAAACGATTCACACTTGAAATACTGTTACTGTGTAAGTACTGATAGTATGCCATAGGGC